GTGTCCGCCAATTCCGTGTCGTTCCCGCGAATGGTGTCCGCCAATCGGGGCTGTGTGACTGACAAATTCTCAAACAGGGTGTCCGGCCTGTGTATGTCCTTCTGCACACTGCTGGTGTCCGCCAGTATTTTTTGTTTACCGACAACGCTCGCGGCGTCCACCGCTGCGTGCCGCGGGGCCAATTAGATTCGCCCGGGGTGTCCGCCCCCGAGGCGACTGCATTGCAGTGCTCAGCACGTGTGGTGTCCGCCACAGTCTTTGTGGTGTTCAAGGCAGAGCAGTAATTGATCCCGCTATTGGTGTCCGCCAATAGGTATTCCGTTAATGAGTTTTTCGCGGGAACGGCGTCCACCATTTGCTAGAGTGAGGGTATTGCATGTTCACACCGGGTGTCCGCCCGGTGTGTGTCAGTATTCGCACAATTGGTGTCCGCCAATAGTTTTGACTTATCTATCACCCGTGCGGTGTCCTCCGCTTGTGTGTTATTTGACCCGTACTTAGCGCCGAGGGTGTCCGCCCCCGTAGCTACTGTTTTTGACGTTTCGGCGTGAGTGGTGTCCGCCACTATGCAAGGCGAAAACGAATCCAAACAGTTAACAGAATGGGAAATTGCGGGTTCGCAACTCATGCTCTCACGTACGACACAGCGGGTGCCACCGACCCGGGAAGGGGAACTCCCACGCTCGCTACTGTCCTTCTGCTGTCCGCGAAGGCGTTCGCTCCCGTGCCAAGCTCGCCGCCCCCCCTTGTCGGCCCCACCTCGTGGAAGTGGGGCCCGCACCGTCACGGATTGGTACCGCCACGGCCTCCTCCCGCGCTCCCGCCACCTCCTCCTCCTCTCCAAGTCCCGCAGTTCTCAAGGACGATGGTCCTGATCGCGGAGGGTACGGCTTCTTCGATGGTGGGCCTCCTGCAGGGGGATCTAGCCCGTCAACAACCGTCCAAACCGTCGTCCGCGAGCACCAAGCGCAAGGCTACTTCGCAGGGTCAACCTGCACGCACCCCTGTTGCCCCAGTCCCATCCGCTTCCACGACAGCCGCCACCGCGTTTGCACAGACCGTCGCCGCCTGGAACACTCCCGACAATAGGGTACAAACCACTCGGAACAAGAAAACAAAATGATAGAAAGAAAAGAACAGGTACCGCACCGACCGTTTGAGAAAAGAGCCCTCGGAAACGATCAAAATATAGGAGGACGCTTCCCACACCCGCCCAAAGAAAAAATCAAAAGGTAACGTACCAGCACCAGGCACTACGCAACAGGGCAAGGGAGTAATGGAGCAAACAGGACAAAGAGCCGGCAGATGGGCAGACAGCCAGACGTACAAACACAAAGGCAACAGCAAAGCGAGATCACGGTACCCAACACAGCAGAGTAGGCAGGGAGGACATGAAAAAAAGAAACACAGCACAGAGGTCGAAGGCATACGAAGGACACACATAAAGGCGTATAGCATACAGCAGGGAGGGAAACAGGGCGCAACATCATCAGCCGGGTACATAGTTCGCCACAAGTGCTGCCTCGGCCGCCCTACTCGCTTCTA